TTCTATTGTATGATAAGAATAATTAGTTGTATTTGGTATTTGATATCTGTGGTATGGATAAGAATGATGAACTGTAGATGATATCTACGGTATTTGTAAGAACAATAAGCTGTAGTTGAAATCTGATATCTGTGGTATGATAAGAATGGTGGACTGTAGATTATATCTGTGGTATGTATAAGAATGATGAGCTGAAGTTGATATCTGTGGTATGGATAAGAATGATAAACTGTAGTTGATATCTGTGGTATGGATAAGAATTATGAGCCGTAGGTGATATCTGATATCTGTGGGTATGGATAAGAATGATGAACTGTAGATAATATCTGTGGTATTGATAAGAATGATGTCCTGTAGTTGATACCTGCGGTATGGATAAGAATGATGAACTGTAGATCTGTGGTATGGATAAGAATGATGAGCTGTAGTTAATATCTGATACCTGTGGTATGTATAAGAATGATGAGCTGTAGATGATATCTGGGGTATGGATAAGAATGATGAGCTGTTATTAATATCGAAATCTGTGGTATGGATAAGAATGGTGAACTGTAGATGATATCTGTGGTATAATATATAAGAATGGTGGACTGTAGTTGATATCTGATATATGTAGTATGGATAAGAATGGTGAGCTGTAGTTGATATATGATATATGTGATAAGGATACGAATGGTGAGTTGTATTTGGTATTTTATATCTGTGGTGCTACGAATTTAACATGAGATATATGTATGGAAATCTGTGGTATGGATAAGAATGATGAGCTGTTATTAATATCTGAAATCTGTGGTATGGATAAGAATGGTGAACTGTAGATGATATCTGTGGTATAATATATAAGAATGGTGGACTGTAGTTGATATCTGATATATGTAGTATGGATAAGAATGGTGAGCTGTAGTTGATATATGATATATGTGATAAGGATACGAATGGTGAGTTGTATTTGGTATTTAATATCTGTGGTATGGATAAGAATTATGAACTGTAGATGATATCTGTGGTATGGATAAGAATGATGATCTTTAGTTGATATATGTGATAAGGATACGAATGGTGAGTTGTATTTGGTATGTTATATCTGTGGTGCTACGAATTTAACATGAGATATATGTATGGAAATCTTTGGCATATTTGGATGGGCCTGTTTAGTGGATTCTGTTTGTGGTACCCGATACAATTATTCATGATGGGTTTTGATGCTGCGTGTGTCAGTTTGAATTTAAGTAATACTGGTGAACTTGTTACAATGGTATTCATGGTAGAAAATGATATTACATTAATTGTTCCATACATTCACACCAAATCTTGTACTTTTTTGTTTTGGTCTATGCGTGCTTCAACATTGACCTCTGCTTATTTGATAATATGAGCACTGGAAAGGGGTTATTATCTATTTCTTTGGATTCATGGTGAAGAGTTTTCGGTATAACTTGAATGTTCTCGTTAGCCTGTATATTATTGTCTATATAACTTCTAGTTAGATAACATATGACTAGTCTACACCTTTACCTAGTCATTTCTACCAGGTATTAAATAAAGGTTGGCTGTAATTGGAATAGGCTAAGCGATGATTACCGTATTTAATGGGTATTGATGAAATCATTTAATATGGGAAGAGATATACGAACCAGCTCACCTTATTTTACTAATCATTAGATACTACAAGTCTAATTGACCTGGCATAGTAGTCGGATGATTTTCTAGTACTAGTCTTTATTTCTGTATCCGCTGTAATTTTAATGATCGGTTAAGTCCAAATTAACGTACGCTTTAGAATGTAATCTATGAAGTTTATTTCAGTATAAGCTTCTTTCGGTTGGTCTGAACGGCAGAGGCTTATCCACGAGAATATCAAATTGATGGCTTATTGTTCGTTTCATTTTAATCATTCTTATCTGAGCTTCTCATTTGCCCCCCACCCCCTAAAAATATTATTTGGGAACCTGTTGCATCACTTCTATTTTACATTGCCGTAACAACATTACAGATATTATTGTATTTCTAAGATTAGATCGATTTTTTGTTTCAAAACCCACATTATACCCGATGCCCTTTTGTAGAAAATTTTGACTATTATTTATTAACGCAGCCTGAATTTCCAAAGGAAGAAGATAATAAAACCAATTCGCTAACTACTCGACAATAAAGAAGACTAGTTCAGACAATACCATCGTAGACAGTAGTATTTAAATTAATGTTTTTAAAGAAGATTAACCTGTAATTTTCGTGAGAGAAATCATAGATCAACTTGTGGTTTCAAAGGACTGAAAAGATTCTTCCATAGAAATCACACGATTCAGCAATAAGCAGTTTGATTTATTTATTTAATCAGTTTTAGAAACAGCAATCGGCTCTTAGTTACCCAGCTGATACATTACGGTTCATCACACAAACGATAAAGTACAGCATCATTATTGCGACATAATGCACTGTATATCGCGATAAACCAAATTTGATAAAGGGTCGATAGCTGACTTTCCAAAAGCCGATTTGATAGTTTTAGATTTTTTTTAATTAAAAAGTATTGATGACTTCTGGAATTCCATAATTTGTGTCCAGTTTTCGTGTAAGCTACTGATGCTTTTTATAAACCGATTCAATCCTAATTATGCCTATTAAAATTGATGCATTTCTATAGAGCGTTCCTAATTTTGTTAATTATAAAGTAGGAAGTACACAACTAACAGCAGTTAACAGATAATTGGAATTTGTATTGGTTAGTTCAGAAGACAGCCAAGAACACCATGACCTGGTGAGTGATGTCAGTCCACGATATCATATAGGGCATTAATTATTATATATACTGGTAAGAATTATTATTCATTGAAATAGGCTTGATCTTAAATAAATATTTAGCAAAATAACTAAAGATATTTTTTTCTTAAATGAGTGGTTTGAAGGAAGTCATAATTATGCAGGACGAAGGGGTCAATGTAGTATTTCATGGAGGTCATCATTAGAGCACTATATCTCAATTTTATCACGAACATTATGAATAAGACTGCTAAATAATGTGTAATCAGAATTTAAAGGCAGGTCATCATATCAATTATTATTTGCTTCTATAAGGGGATCACCAGGCATTTTAATGACGACCACATACGACGAATAAATATATATAACATTCCGTAAGCATTTCATAAAACGTTATTGATTTAATATACGTAACAATTAAGGCTGTCTTAAATATATTACTGAAATGCAAAATATTGCTGTACATGTGAACCGTTACAATGCTTTGATAATATGTATATGCATGTACAGACTTTAAAGTCATAATAACGCTATTACTAATTAGAATTATGCTTCTGTTGAAGCTATCGAGGTAACATGTGTATAAATGGTTTCTTACAGTCAACAACATCGATGGCAAGTTACCTAAAGACATATTGTCTTCCATTACAATAACACAGGGGTTTAAACTGTGGTCAATGATTTGAATTTCTTCATTATAAACTAAAGCAATGAGATCTACGATTCGTACTTTTTAAGCAATCTGAATACTAATATCTCATTCGATGTAATGCTTCGCATTTGATAACCAACTGTGGAACTAGCACCTCAGTATCAGGGTACGCAGCATGGTTTTATAGTATCAGTTTTTAAAATATTCAGTAAGTAATTTAGACATACCAATTTTTGGTGGAAAATCATTTCAAGAAGCCACTAAAAATTGTTGGCTATATCGCCATGAACAGAATGGTTCTATTCTACGTTCTTTTTTGACAATTTTCGGCTATAGCCCTTAACATAGTCTCATTACTATGACATCGAAGATCAAATGCTTGTGATAAAGCTGCTAATAATAAAACTTTCTTGCTTTATCAACTTTAAGATATTGCTGAAACTTTTAAATAAAGATCATGATTTGGTGTTGGATTCCATCCATGACCTAACTCATGTTACAATATAATATCAAAAAATCATTCCTTGCTCTTTCCGGAGTTGTTAAGAAAAGACACACTGGTCTCCTCAAACGAGAAAAAGTAAAAAGGTGTTCTAATCTCCATCTATTACCATTGACAATCTCGACAAGATATATCTATCATTTTTCAAGGGTAAAAAACCTAATTTACATTTCAAGGAAATTCTTTCAAGAATATCTGTCTATCTCTGTGACCATCATTTCCTATAAAGTTCAGTGATTTTTTTTTTGTCCTACAAATGAAAGAATTGTTTTTCTTCGTGGCATTATGTACAACGCAGTCTCACAAATCATAAGAATTCAGATTCCAGCTATTTTGGTTTGGGTTCTTTATGTTTTTGATGCTATTGCAATATAAAATGGGTATTCTTAAGTGATTCTTAAGATTTTTAAGTTAATCACATATTCCTCAGAAAAAATTAACTTTTGAAATACTCTTGATTGCAAAGTACTTTCTACTTGTGCTGGAGGATTAGGTTGTTGTTTAAGTTGATATTGATCATTACTTGGTAAGAGCATCGTTTGCTCAATATCTTTCTACAATAGAAGATAATCAATGTGGAGTAGAATAATAGATGAACTTGTAATATGCATACATGAAATCAGGAAATAATTCCAAGCAGGCAATGTTATTTGTATAATCAACCTATATCAATATGAAAACTGGAAATTTCCTTACCTTTGTCGAATCCTTTTCAGATAGTTCCGTTCAACAAGTTTGTGAAATCATTGTGAATATTTGAACAATATCATTCACATTGGCTAATCAATCTCCTTTCACGATCATTGTATTTAATACCCAGCACAATCAAATTCTTTTCTTTTATCGAACTTTTAAAACGCGACTTATTAAGACGTCGACTTTTCGAATGACTCTCATGAGGTCCGAATAATGTTAGAAGTTTCCAGTGACGAAATTGCATTCTTACATAGCGTCTCCAGTTTCCATGTTTCGGATCAGAAATCCCAACGGTTCCTTGCTGCTAATTACTTGTAAGCTTTCTACTCGTGTCGTTCGTGCAGTTTTCCGCGCCAAATAACACGCGTAATTCACCTAAAGAAAATAGTGATAAATAAATCTATTTCCAGTGGTTATCACATCGCTAGGACACAATTTGGCGGTAAGTGGCTGACAGCCTACTGCAAACACGAACGTCACCCGATTGAATAAGGGTTTGGTTTGTCTGGATGAAACTCTGTATTTACGCCGATTGATTCTATATGCGTGAACATCGATTTTGATGGAGTAAAGTTTGGAATCATTAAGACATACGTTTTTCTTCTTAACCATTGATTGTTGGAGACATCAATCATAAACTGTCCTCGGGTCTCCTTCCATTGCTCCTATTTTACTCTAAACAACTGTCTTTTCTAGACGGTATAGAGGATTCAATCAATATATATTTAATACGACCACTATCAATTCCAATTTTCAAACCAACCACGTTGGATCTAAACCATATTATTATTTTCATATCTAGAGGTTGTTTAGAAAGTAGGTTCTTTTACAAAAATATTTAAAATTGACAATATTCTCAAAGAACGAATATTTTAAGGCTGAGCAATTGTATTCTATGTGTGTGTACGGAAGCATTTGCGAACATGAATCATGAAAAGCAATCACAAATTGTTTTAAATTTCACCGAGCTCTAGAAGGAAACGAACATGGATTTGCGGAAGTAAGATTAAACCACGGATCATGTCAGCGACAAGAAAAAACCAAGGATTGCGAAACCTAGCATGAATTTTATAGATAACAATGTAGAACATGTTTGTAAAGCAAAAAGCACGTGTTATTTCGCATATCGACACCACTCTCCCTTCAAATAAACTTTTATTTACTTGGTAGTAGTCAAATTCAACTAAGCGACGTAAATTATACTTCATAAATCGTTTTAAACCTGGTTCTATATTTCAGTTTGAATTTCGATCTAAGATTCTGGAAAACAAAAAGTAAAAGGCTTTTTTCAAGACAAGCTAATGAATAGATATAGATACACATCCTTTTCACTTGCAATCGATATCGGTCTAGAGAATTTTACCTCTATAATTGGATGGATCGAAGTTTAATAATACATCATGTCTATCTGACTCGGGTATAATGACAAATATATCATGAATAGTTAACTACCATATTTAACATGCACATCTACACTAACTAAACATCTCTTTTTTATCAATTTAATTAAAAGCAGTGTTGCGGTTGTAATTTTGCGTGCTTGCAAATATCATAATCTTGGTAATATAAATAAAACTTTATTGCATCAGAAATTGCATTACATAACCTTGAATTTCGGGATGCCAATGATCTCTAAACTATGGACCTATTTGGTTTTACTAATTATAAGTGAATATCTATAAATAATAAATCATTTTACTCAGGGCTTGAGTACCTAAAGTACTATGATACTGAGTGAAGTTGACTGAGTTGTAGTAGTGTAGTAAGATAGTTGCATCTGATAAACAACAATTGTGTTCCTTTTATAAGATTTGAACGACATATAGAATCGAGGAGCACATATAACACAAGACGATATTATGGAATATAACACACTTCTTTAATAAGGTTGGGCACATAACGTTTCAACACAATATACACGTGTCGTCATCAGATGTA